GAGTTTGAGGGTTCGTTACAGTATCTGCTGTTCCTAGCACTGCACTGTTCTGGACAGCGAGCTGTGATGTTATTCCTGGGATCTGTTGGAGCCACTCTCCCAGCTTAGGAGTCACGGCCCCGAGTGCTCCTACCACTACTGGGACCACTTTGGCCTTGATTTTCCACATCCTCTCTAGTTCTTCCTTCAGGCCTTGGTACTTCTCCAGCTTCTCATACTCCGTCTTCTTAATGTTGCTGTCACTTAGCACCACTACCTCTATCATCATTACTGTCTTCTGGTCCTTGTCTGCTACCACAATGACTTGTTGATTGGCCAGGACCTGCCTGTCCATCTGGAACCGGAAGTCCCACAGGATCTTAGCCCTGTTATTCTCCACAACCTTCTGTGGAATCTCTCATCTGTACTTGAGAGGGTCTAGCCCATACATTGTGCAGATGTTCCTGTATACAATGCCAGCTACTTGGTTTATGCTGTTCCTGCTTGCATCTTACACCCTGCCACTATGTGTTGGACTGTCTGTGAGGCCTCTCTGCACAGTCTGCACCTTGGGTCCTGCCTAGCGTGGTAGACCCTTGCTTCTATGGATCTGGTGCTTAGCGCCTGTTCTTGTGCTGCTATGATCAGTGCCTCAGTGCTGTTTTTTAGTCCAGTCCTTTCCAGCCACTGGTAGGATTTCCCAATGTCAGCCACCTCAGCTATCTGTCGATGGTATGTTCCATGCAGGGGCTTGTCTTGCCATGGTACTTCTTCCACTTGGACTTCCTCCCATGTCTGCTACTGCCTCAGGCATTCTCTCAGCAGCTCATCTTTGGGTGCCATCTTAGTGATGCATTCCTGGATGCTCTGGGTTTCATCCAAGACAGTGGCTTTGACACTCACCAGACTTCCATCTAATAGTGTGTGTGTGTGTGTGTGTGTGTGTGTGTGTGTGTATCCATTGTGATTAAAATTAAATACTATAATTGCATCTGTCATCACAATGTAAATATTTATCTCCTGTATTGCAATTGCTTACTCTTGATTTGAAAATTATTGAGTTTTCCCATTGGCCTCTACTCAATAACACTCAAAATAATAACATAAATACAAGCTATCTTACCGATAGTGTAGCAAGGGAGTACCTTTTGCTGTACAGTTCAAAAGCACTTCTGAATTTTCTGAATTCTCTGAATATATGACATCAGATGGCTCTTGAATAAAAACAGGACCATGGAGAATTTGTTCATCTATGAAACAAAACACATTAAGCAGATTTAAAACGTAATATTTTATCTAAAGACAATTCAAAATGTATCTGTTTTTCCAGCAAGACCTTAGCCATATTTTACAATTGACACTTTTGTGCAAAGAGTTCTATCTTAATGAGTTCTGCATGAAAGAACTAAACAATTTTGAGATATCTAATTTTTCCTCTCTATTCAGAAACAGCAAACAT